GGCTGTTTTCCTTTGCAGGAGGCTGAACGAGAGGGAGAGGATCGGAGAGCTCGGGGCGCCCGAAGTCTGGGGGCTTTCCCCAAAGGTGCCTGACCCCGAGTAAGGAGCTGTCTTTGCTCTTCCCCTCCCGCCTCTGCGCTACTGATTGCCCGCTAAGTTACCTTACAGCCTCGTCCCTGCGCTTCTCCCTTCTCCGCGATTCGTGTCGCGTCAGAAGCTCCTTTCTGACTTGGCCTAGCCGGGTCGTGACTTTTCCCAAATAACTCCAACGTGTCCACTCTGTAAGACTTCGGTATGTTGTCGGTCAGGTGAACTCCCCCTTGTGCTGCCGTTCTCAAAGCAGTTCTCATGCTGCAGATTAGCTGTTTAATAGATTTGTTCACTGCCAATATTGGCTGAAAATGTGCCAGCATGTGTCTGGTCAGTTGTGTACATTTGATCTTGAATTGCTAAATATTGCAAAATAGATTTTTGAATAATAAACTTCTTATTTTTACTCAGTTCTGATGAACATACTCCTGTAGAAGATGAAGAGGCAAAATCTAAGAGCAGTTCTTCAGATTCCAGCTCAGAAGGTATTTTGCTCTGCTTGTACAACTTGTTTCAGAACTTGGAGGTCACCTAAGACTACAGCCTGCTGTTGTGGCTTGTAAGAGGTTAACTGACTTTGCGAGGATGAAGTGAGCGTGACGGGCTCCAGTTCAAATGAGAACGTTGCCACAGTAAGATCCTGAAATACATACGGAGCTAGGTCGTCTCCCTCTGTTCCCTAACATTGTCTTTTGAAAACATTCTAGAAGAGAAAAAGAAAAAGAAGAAGAAAAGAAAGAAGAAAAAGCAAAAGGCATCCAAAAGAAAACGGAGGAAACATTCTGAGGACAGCGACAGTGAGTCAGAGTCAGACTTGGACTCTAGTGGTAAGAAAAGGCAGTTTCTGTTAATCTGCGTGGTCTGAGAGCTGTCCTTGTGCTCCTCAGAACGCAAAGCAAGGCTTCCAGCTTCTGCTGCTCTGAAACTACAGAGCTGCCGCATCAGCCCTACGCGCTTTTCTTTCACTGTCTTGTTGGATTTGCAATGCCTTTTTCTTGATGAGCGCTTGCGGTTCTTACATCAGGAAATAGGATCTCTGAATTTAACATCTGTTAGGTGTCTCATGCCAGATGGCTCGTTGAGTATATCGAGCAATAATGCGGGTAGCTGTCTGCTGATATATTTTTTTTTTTTCCCCATGATATTTGGCACCGAAGCAAATCATGTTTGAGAACCTCTACTTAAAGCATTCTGGTGGAGGCAGTGTTATTTATTCACAGTGCAATAAATCAATTATTTTTCTAGTTCAGATCAGTCTGACCTGATCTCTTTTTAGTGATTTATACTTCTAATTTTTCAGATGAAGATAAAAAGAAAAGCAAAAGGAAGAAAAAGAAGCACAGAAAGTAAGTTTCTAAAATGTTATGTATAATTGTACCTGCTTTTCACTAGAGGGCAGCACCACCCTCTTCGCAGGCAATGAGGAGGACTGCACCCTCTTGTAATTAAGACTATAAATCCTATTGAACAATCTTAATGTGATGCATTGGCTTTAAATGTACAGAACCCTGGATCAAAGAGGATTCATGGGAAACCTGAAAGCTTCTAACACTATATGAAAAGCATAATAGTGGATTTATTGTTTTTGTTTTGCTATATTTCCTATCAAAGGACAGCAACCTATAGCTATATAATCAGCCCTTCCCTAGGTGGGAGTTGCCTTGAGAAACTAATCAGTTGAGCTTGATTCCTAGTGCTTGCATTCCTCTTAAATTTTGGTGAGCAGCATGTCTGTCTTTGACTTTATCACAGAAAGAAGTATAAGAAAAAGAAAAATAAAAAGAGCAGGAAGGAATCCAGTGATTCAAGTAGTGAAGATTCTGATGGTGAAACATTTCAAGGAGAAGATCTCTGGATTGAGAGATCAAGTAGGTTCATGTGACTTTAAAACTTGGATTAAAAGACCTCAATGTTGTTTTCATTAGTTTATTTGCTAGGTGTTGCTGACTTGTGTAACTAATCTGATAACAAAGAATAATGGGCATAATATTAATCTTCGCTATTTGCTTATTGCAGAAAATACGGAAGCTGATAGCCTCATTGGACCAGAAGCTCCCAAAACACATGCGTCTCAAGATGACAGACCTCTTAAGTGAGTAGCCAACTCTGGTATTACTTAGATCAAGTCAGGTAAATCAAACATGAAGACTTCTGTCCAAAGGGACTGTTATAATAACATAACGTGTAACAGAGAGAGAGAGATGCTGTACCAGAAGCCTAAGGACAGAGGTGGGAGTGATGCTGGTCTTTACCCTGACCTGAACTGAGGTAGAAGAGTATGTTTTACACATTTTAGCCTTGATTTTTAGATAAATTAATTGCTCTTTTCTCCAGTGAGGTGTTCATGATGCACTTTATTCTAATGCTCTCCATATGGTAACTTTATGCAGCCTTCATACTGTTAAGAAGTTTGATCAAACCAGTAGTTTAAGCTGTTGTTGCTACGGGTTGCCATGGCAAAGAGTTGGGAAGTGCTTAAAAGTGTGGCTGCAGCAAGTAACGAACAGGGAAGCTAGATGCTGTAGCTCAGGCTTTCTCTCTCTGTTTGAGACTGATTAAAATCCCTGCTTTTTTTAAGCTATGGACATGCCCTGCTGCCTGGTGAAGGCGCAGCAATGGCAGAGTATGTAAAAGCAGGAAAACGTATACCACGGAGAGGTGAAATCGGCTTGACCAGTGAAGAGATTGCTTCGTTCGAGAGCTCTGGCTATGTAATGAGCGGTAGCAGGTATGGCTTTGATGATGGTAATGGTTCAGTGAAGTTTGCAAGAGCTGCTTCCTCTGTTGGCCAGTGGAAAAACTGATTCCAAACACTAGCTGAAAGCACAGGAAAAAAAGGTGCTCTGTGTGTCTGCAATAATCTGTGCTAAGCTCCCTGTTGCTACATATATACCGTGAGTTTGTTAAGGTATTTTCTCCTCAAGAGTAAAAAAATATTTCCAGCTAACCCACTTCTAATTATGTTGTACGTGCAGAGAAACGATGCTTGAGTCAGATGGCTCAAAGCCTGTGTCTTTGGTAACATGCTCGCTCTTCAGTGAGACAAATGAAAATGCCAGAGGTTGGCCATGCTTTTTCGATATCAGTACAGCTGGAGTTTCACGTACGTTTTGGAGAGCCAACAGTTGGTTCCCTGGGGGCAGGAGGGACTCCCTCCTTGCTGCCTGAGGGCAGACACCTCAGAAATCAGCTTCTAAGTGCCATGCTCCTTCCTCAGGAGGTTTGTGTGCAGTTTGGATTCTCTGGTCTAGCTGTCTTCCTTATTTATAAGCGGAACACATTCGGGTCAGCGGATGGATTGACGCAGAGGGAGCCTTGCATCCCTCTGCCTGTGCTGATGAACACAATGTTCTCCTCCACAGACATCGCCGAATGGAAGCTGTGCGTCTACGAAAAGAGAACCAGATTTACAGCGCAGATGAAAAGAGAGCTCTGGCATCCTTCAACCAGGAGGAGAGAAGGAAACGAGAGAATAAGATCCTTGCAAGCTTTCGAGAGATGGTCTACAGGAAGACTAAGGGCAAAGAAGACAAATAATTATTTTTTGAACTATACAGCGTGGATTCTAGCAAGCAGCAGCTTGCTGTTCCAGTCATGATTTGAAAATAGCTGCAAGTGCTGCAGTGCTTTTCACCCAGTGAGGGCAAGCCTCAGGAGTGGATTACTTGTACCAAGGAAACACGGTTATCTTTATCAGATTTTCTTGGATGGTTTGTTCACCATCTGCAGGGAATTGCTGTGAAGTGGAAGGCTACGAGGGTCAGGAACAGGCAGGGAAGGTTTAAGGTGGGAATGTTCTGTATTTGCTTTGAGTTGGACATGCAGAAGGATTCGTGGGAGGGTTCTGGCAGCTGATACTGATAAGTGCTCCTTTCCATTTGTTTTGACTAATGAGACCAGACTGGCCATCACAAACAAGCTACTAGTAATAGTAGTAAAAACTAAGGAATTCCTGTATAGGATCTAAGACTGTCCGCTTATGTATCTTTTTCATAAGTCACATTTTTTCTCAAAACAGGTGAATTTGTTTTGTGGTTCAAACTACACTTGTAAATATAAATGAGTTTGTAATTTAATACAGACTGGCTTCAGTTACTTTAAAGCAAGCAGACTGCAACTGGGGTATAAAATGACAGTAATAATAGCAGGGTCTGATCTAGAATCTACCAAAGCCCAAGTTGCTTGCTTCTCTTTCTACTATGTTATACATAGGTATCAGAGCGGTGGGCGGCAGTGATTGGAACCCCTGGATGTACACAGGTGGTAACAAGGATGTGTCAATTTATTTTAATTTGGGGGGGTTTTTTTGCTTATGGAAGTGCTCTAGATTAAAGCCTTGTTTTAACTCTTGTAGTATTTTAATTTGGTCTGTTTCAGTAGTATTACACAGCTTCTTTTAAGCTTTGTAAGGAGAGGCCTACTCCGGGTAATGCTTATGTGGCTGTTATCTTTGAGTCAACTGCATATTTACAAAAAGTAGCCCCATTTGACTTACTCTTCTAAAATGCTTTAAAAATAAAAGTTTTTGTAGAGGTTTTTTTCACCTCAAATCTTGGTGTCTTGGTGTTGTAATTTTAGCAGCAGAGATGTCTTGTATGTTTGTATTAAAAAAAAAAAAAAAAAAACAAAAAACCCCTATGATGTTTATCCTGGAGTTCTGCAAACCTGACTTTGACAAACAGCAAGTCCGGCCCAGCTGCCTCTTCGTGTTTATACTCTACAGAACCTGGTGTGCTATCCTGTCTCGCCCGACTATACCTGCAAGGGACTGCCATGTAAAACCAGCTGCCAGCTCAGACCTTAGTTGATTTTGTTAGTTTTCCACAGATTTAATGCTTGTTATGTATCCATGCAGGTAGAAAAACTCCTAAGGAAGCAAGAGCCATCCTTTTGCATTGTGTGCATTTGATTCTCCATAAAACACTGACAGACGTCACATTGATGGCAGGGGGTTGGAGCTGTTCATTAGAAAGTAAGGCTTTCCATGAGGATGATTTTATTTTCAATTATGTCCTTAAGCCACTTTTCTCTAAATCGACACTTTTCTGGCCTAGAGGAGAGAATGAATGAATAGGGTGAATGTTAAGAACAATATTGAATTAAAGTTTGGCCAGCTGAAAGCTGACCTTTATTCACAAAATATGCGTATCTGCTGAAAAAACAATGCCTTCTAGACCTGCGTAAATCCATTGCAAATTCATTGTGTATAAGGCAGGTGCTCACGGAGTGGCTGTCACTGCTGGGGTTGGAGTGAAGCTTGTAATAGCAGATTTTGCTTAGCAAATCTGATAATTACTTCTGTGATATTGTCATAAATATTTTATTTACCTCAAGCTCCCTGTTTGTTTTGGTATGGGGAAGCTTGCCAGAACTCCTAAGTGGTGTCAGTGATGGAAAAGTATTGATGCGTACCTGTGAATCAGCCTGCTCGATTCCAGAACGAAGAATACCTCCACGGGCAAGGTCTGCAAGAGAGGAGGGACAGGGCAGAGTTCACACGTTGAACTGCAGGACCTCAAAAAGCAGACCTTTTAATTAGGTGAGAGCTACTGTCTACTTCTTAAGAAATTATCTGTGTATTTGTGCAACACTTCTGCTACAGGTTAGAACAGTTTTGGTTTAAAGCATCTGTGAATATTCTGATGCGAAGGGAATGCTACGACTCTATAACAGCTTGCGTTAGGATGTGATTTATGACCAACGTCTGTGGGCTTCTACTCAGGGATCTGTAGCCAGTAAGTGGAAAAACTAAGGTTCAGTATGACCAAGTGTAAGTTCTAGAGGGGGAAAAAAATTACTTTTATAATAATTTTTATTTTCCCCTTGAGCTGCAAATATTGTTGCACAGATGCATATTGGAACTCTGGATGCATAGACTGTATGAATAATTAAATGATTTCAGTAGCAAGTGCAGTAGAAACTTATGCAGAAAGTAAAAAGGAGGGAATAGCTGTAGAATATCATGTCTTGTGCATGAGTATTCCCAAGGCTTTTTCTGGAGCTTAACACTATGTATGCTTGGTAATAGAGGCAAAGATTTGAAATATGAACTTGATGATAAAATGGATCCCTTTGGAGTGTAGCCATGTACTTTTCTAACTCTCAGAATGTCAACTGTTAGGGGCTACAATTGTTTTAAGTTAGTGCTTTCTGTCATTCAAGGTAAGTGAAACAAGAGTTTTACTGCTGCACCTTGAAGGATTGATTGCTGTGTGCCGTTTCTCAGTACTTACAGCTGGTTTGATTTTGGAGATCTCTATAACGAAATAGACGCTTGCTGTTGCTCGTGGGATGGGTTTTCTGCGTGTTGGGGTGCTCCAGCAAACTCTGTAGTGGTACCTCTTGCTATTCTTCAGCTCTTCTTCCTGGAGAAATTCTGTCCAGTGAAGCCAGCTTTCATGAATCTCCCACGTCTGCTGAACACATCACACTGTAAGATTCCCTCTCTAGCAGAGAGCCCTTAAGGGAGATGCTAAAAACAATTTGAGTTGGTCTCATTTAATTTTTCACACTAATCCACAGCGAGAGGGCGTGATCTAACTGAAATTTTCAGAAGGTTCATGTTTATAGCTGCAACGAAATGAGCAGATGGAACCATCACTCACAGCAATGTATTCTTCGATCTGCTGCTGTCCTCTCTCCACGGTGAACTTCTTGCATGTGGTCCACTCAATATTTTTGCTGACATATTCAGCTTCTGAAAACAGAAAAAATGCTGAAAAGTCATTTTGGGAAGGCTCTGACAGTTGCCAAGACATAGCAAATAGAGCAAGCTCACTACCTTTCTCCTTTTTTTGCAAATCTAGATGATACTCCTTTGCATCGCTTATCACGCTTTCAATGAAAACGCGTGCTTTTTCCTTGATGGCACCATCCTCCTCTCCCTTGTCCATCGTCTTCACCCTTAGAAAGAGAAAGGCACAACGTGGCTGAGAGCGGGCGCCCTTCAGAGCTGCAGGTGGGCAGACAGACGGACGTTTGGCAGCTCTGGTCCTTCTGACAAACGTTGGGCTCATCTGGAAGGGGACGCTGAAACAGCCTGACAGACATGGGGCCGCTCTCCATCTGCTGATCCCTTGGTGCCCTGAGCACAGCTCCGCTCAAATCCGACTCGAGCAGCCTTGCACCCGCAGAAGAGGGTTAGCGCAGCGTGCTAAGGGGCGTCGGGGCAACACGCCGATGCTAGCGGCGGGGAGTTGGGGGACGAGGGCGGCCGGCGCGATCCCGGGGCGCCGCGTCGGGGCCCCGGCGTTTGTCCTTCCCTACCTGTCGGTGCAGGGGTCCCGCCGCCCCGCCCGCG